ACCTAAAGAGTTCTTCGGTCGAATGATTTATTTTTTCCATATTGTATCTGCTTCAGCCTCTATGAACTGTAGCTCTGAATTTGCCAAATCAATCTCTGTGAAGCTGTAAGTGTGCTTTCTTTCTTGCCTTGGATTGGACACAGAACGCATGGATGACTGAGAGCGCCTATTATAGATATGTGCCGATCGTACGCCGTTCCTTGCAATGCCGATTTCGGGACCATGGAATTCACATGACTACGTAGTGTTCACAAACAATCCATTTCTGTATCCAAATATTGTCATTGTCATCACTTACAGGTGGTGAGGATCAGTCACTGCCCGACGCTCCTTCTGGAATACCTGCGTGAATTTCGACAATACGTTTGCCTATCACCGCATTTGTGTTTTTCGGGTCTATGTAAAGCGCGCGCACCTCGTTTAGCCAGCGCATATGTAGCCTATTCGCGTGTGTTTGAGAGGAAGCGGACCTCCCAGACAACTGAGGGAGTCGTTAATTGTGTCTATCTTCAAAGAGGGCATCAGAGTGATTGTAGTAAACGAAGGAATGTCCGTTTGTCTCACCTTATAACCAGGATACTGGCGTCTTTGACCGAATGGGCGCCAGGCTGAGCACATGTCTGAATATTCCACTTTAGAATTGTGACATTGTTCAGCTGTAACCCCCTTCTGGTGCCCAGCTGCCATGCCACCCGGAGGAGGCACGTGGGCTGAGATGCTGCCAGGTTGCCCAAGCCTAGACAGGAGAAGTCGATAGGCAAAGGTCGGTGCGGTTAGTAAATTCGCGCTCTAACCACCTGAGCCATCTCGGCAAATAACTGTGACAAAACTCCGTATGTTAGCCAAACAGCCCTCAGAAAATCTGTTTACATCCACTGTACCATTCTTTAGGTAATCGGGCCGAAAAGTTCATGACAAATTTATTGTTTATGAATTCATCGATCCAGGGAACTGACCCCCAGTCATCTGACGTTCCCATACTCCATGAGGCTTTAAATCGAGGAATCAAAACGGCATTTGAAGAACGAATAGTCCATTTTGGATTATGCTGAGTTGCTACTGAGCAATCGTCACTTCACACAACCCTGTTTCATTTGAATTTCGGAGGTAGCACATGTTTCACAATCTGCGTGCCAAGTCTCATTTCAGCATTTTCAAACCCCTTGTTTCCCTTTGGAACTTCAACGTGAAATGAATTGTATACCCTAAGGTTCCCTGGGTTCTTCAAACGGTTGTGTTGGAGACCAGCTGAACTGTTCTTCGAAGTGTTCAGTCCACCGCTCAAGACGACGACTGATAGTGAAATGTTGTTCCGTCTTTTTTCGCATATTGTTTCACTGACACTTGCTTTCTTTTGACTAGTTGGTCGAATCAGTCGAAACAGAGAGCGGCTATTGCCTGCAGTAAAAGCCTTCTCCATCTGCCGGACCTCCGTAATCCACCAGAGTTCTCTGTCATTCTTCAAACTCCTGATTTTTCAGTGTTTGAGGGATCGCTGGTTGATGGTATGGCCTTTCTGACAGCAATAAGATCCATTGACCTTGATGATTTCCAGCGGTCATTTAGTCGAGTCAGATGGCCTGGACAGACAGTTCTGAAAGCTGAGGGTATTGCTTCTTTAGCTGGCCTCCATTCAATCTCCATTCAATCTTCATCATCCGCATGACTGCGGTTCCAGTAGCTTCATAGGCAGATCACCTCGATACTCTTCAGCTACTGAAACTTGTAGAAGTTGATGAACGGATCTGCTCTCCTTTGGCAAGCTGAATGCTGACGGAAACCGAAGTACCAATCGGGCCCGTACGATGGCGTGATTAGAGTCAATTTGCGTAGCACAGAAGAAACGATAGTAATTGACTGAGACTCTCAATCGGTGGCTGATGGGCGCACAGCCCAATTGAGTCCATGGCTGCTTTGTGGGAGATGGCCTTCAAGTAAATTCGTGTGAGCGCTTTTTTATAGTTCATACCAGCTAGGAGCAGACGACGATCTGCACACAACTGAAGAAGCTGCTCTCCGTTATCCGTACTTTCAGCATTGACTCCAAATCTGCCACCTAATCGTGCTTCTTCCGGACTTAATCGACCGACTAGGGCATTCTTATCGCCTGCCAGAATTACTATATCCGAAGTAGTCGTGACAGATCTTCATAGAACTCGTCCTTTTCAGTCTCAGAACTGCAGTCTGTTGGGGCATATGCTGATACGACATATAAACACCATTCACCGCATCGGTCTCAATTGCACCAGAACCGCGTAGCGCGAATACGGCTGAGGCCGAAAGCAACTTTCACACCGTAGTTACCACGAGCCATTGCGTCCGGATCAGCAGATACTCGAAGAATGAAATTTGGAACATCTGAGCTCGTCCTAAGTGGCTTGAGGACCACCAGCTACAGTCCTGAATGGGTGTTTCAGAGACACACCATACATCGACAGAGAATGAAAGCAAGGTTTCAGCAAGGGATACCTGTTATCCAATTTGACATAAAATACGGACATTAAGTGCTGCAACGTGGAGCAGATCCTCTGAGGTTTGTTTTTCTGGATGAAGGTTTAGATCCGGAATGGTGGCCAGAGGAGTGACAGGTGGGTTGATTGCGTTGAGTTGTACAGTAGGCGAGGAAGGAGTGCGTGAGATGGCCGGTGAGAAAAGAGATGCAAGGGCAAATGACACCTCCCCATTTCCCAGGTTGAAGAAGGGGGTTTGATTGAAGTACCTCTTTGAGCCTTTGACTCAAAAGTCTGACCCACACTGCAGTGGGGGAATGTAGGGTTTTGTTCGGGGACCCCGTTCCTAGCTTCTGACTCAAAAGTCTTGACTGCGAGACCGCAGTTTTCCCTTCCGGGAGCCAATGACTCAATAGTCTGATCCACTTAGCTGCAGGGCTCAGGGAGTGATGCATTACTGTCTCACTCCTAGTACAGCCGCGCACGGCAGGTGTCTTTTGAGCAGCATCAAACTCTTTGGTTGCGAAAGTATTTCGACTCCAGTGAATGATTCGCCGGTAGTCACGGTCAACCTTTTGGCGGGTGAATGATTCGCCGGTAGTCACGGTCAACTTTTTGGCGATCGGAATGTGCGGTTTTTAGGACCGACCTTTTCTAGCATGTCTTTGGAGGAAAGCAGCATGTGCGGTTTTTAGGGCCGACCTTTTCTAGCATGTCTTTGGAGGGAAGCAGCATCGCTCCTTCCACATATTAGCCACCTGGGAGAAACGCCTCACTGTCTTCATACTCCTATCGCAGGGGACAGCACGTCTTTACCTCCATATAGCCTTGTAATACAATTACTCACAGTACGGCGACTCGCTGTTCTTCCGGCTGTTCTCTGTTGGTCTATCTGGCGTGGTTGAACCTTTAAGGACTGAGTTTCAGCCAGTATAGCCCGCAGAATCACTTCCGCAGGGAGCCCGAACTCGCTGTTCTTCCGGCTGTTCTCTGTTGGTCTATCTGGCGTGGTTGAACCTTTAAGGACTGAGTTTCAGCCAGTATAGCCCGCAGAATCACTTCAGCACAGGAGCCCGACCACCGCAAGGTGAGAGCTTTAGGTCGGGAGTGCTCCATAAACCGGTTGATCTTAACTAAAGGGCTCTCTTCTGATTCTAGCCGGTCGAGAGTCATAATTACAGAGTAGTGTCATTGTTGTACGAAACAGTCTGCCGAATGATCCGGGTACCGGCTTTCATTACACACCTAATTTCCAATACTAAGTTCGCTCAACTCACCAACAGACAGTCTCATGGGTCTTGTTGCACAGATTAACGGGAACAGATTCTGTACATTGCTGATTGCACTAGTATCCACTTACGCAGCTGGGTGAGCTAGTCAACAACCACGTGTTTTTGCTTGTGACGAAGCTCGCATGCCTCACAATGATACTGCATGGTGAGTGCGAAAGAGAACACTGACGGGAAATGATAGCCAGTGGATGATATCTTGCGGTCATGCAGTTTTCGCAATCTTAACGTGGTTGCCATCCCCATAATCCCAACCGGAAGACAAGAGCGAATTGCTGATACAGAACATAAAACCACCGTTTGCACTCCCTGGGAGTATGACATTGTGTGACCTTTCGGTGCTTCCTCTGGTTCACCTTGGGTCAACACATAGGACACATTGATGCAGATGGTGGCCAGGCTGACCCAATACGCCCTAGGTTTGTTTTACCATTGTACCCATAGGGAACGACCCATAGGGTCGTTCCAAAAACACCTCAATGGGCTTCATTTTTATGTGCGCGATGTTCCTACCGTCCTGTAGATGACACTGATAAAAAATGGCAACGTGCCAGATACCTTGAACCCGAGTCGGCTACCGAAGGCCAAAAGCGATGTGCTACGGTTGAGTAACGAGGAGGAGACGCCAGATTACTCATCGGCCACTAGTTTGCGGGAATGCCATGCTCAAAATCAACGGTCCATTGATTGCAGATAACTGCCGTTACAGTAAATGCAAGCAGAAAGTTGACTACCTAGGCCGTTCTTCTGTGAGTTGAATCTTCTATCTTGTGCTTTGGTATTCCTCACCGGCTTTGCTGCTTCAGCATTCCATGGCTCCTACAGTGGCTTGTTCAGTTCCCAGTGGGAGCCATCTGCTACGAGTTCTCCGGTTTCGCCAACTTTTCCTTGCCATCTTGTAGTCCTTCATCAAACTCCCAAATCTCGCATGTTTTACTCCGGTTTTGGTCGACAAGTTCCAGCAGAAAGACAATGTGGTTATAATGAACGAATCTTTTAGCAGGCCAAATACTGGTAGGACAGTAAAATCCGTGGTTCTCGAATTTCTTTTGTTTTCGCACAGATATTGAATATTCGCGTGATTCCGCTGCACTGCATGGCTTTGATCTTGGTTTATCTTTCTTTTCTCAAAATTAACCTCATACATACGGTTTTACGCGGTCTAGTGCCCCAAACTCAGTAGGACTCTTTGCCTGCCTAACGTTTACTTTTTCAAAAAAATACTTCATCGCTGCTTACTTTCTTTACCTTATACTTTTAGCTGCACACTGCGAAGAACTTCGCGCTGGCGAAGCAGCCAAAAGCAGTTCACCTAAAATATGGGAACCTTCAACACATGAGAATGAGGTGTCGTGTGTGGTAGGCCCTTGTGCTTTATTGGTATCATGCCTTCAATCACCCATTCGGCTTGTTATACGGGTCCGACTGGCTTTTCTTCACAACTATCTACGCAACCAATGCATGCGTATCAGTATAAAAACCTTGGTCCTCTACCTGCTGGCATGGGATCACCAGCTATGCCAAACCCATCTCCACGAAACCGCCTACTATTACAAGACCCTAACACACCGCTGGTGAACAATTCGGGACATTTCGGTACACCTGGTCCTCCTCACACGACCTCGGTGAACGGCAATTATTCCGCTCGTTTGACCAATTCACGTGGTCACCACGGCACTCATGCACAACAGTCAAACGGCATTCCCTCTTCGAATCCCACCGAATTAATGTCCATGTCTATGCACACACCTCCCTCAAACTATCATTATTGGCCAGCTGTCGCTACAGCCGTGACGAATTCACCTAACAGTCACAACAGCACCACCACAACTCCCAATCCATCGGTTTCTCCATATGCACACACTAATATCATGTCGGGTGGTACACATAATTACAGCCCAACTCCTGCTTCTGTCGGCACCAATGACTTTCACTTGAAACACAATGGGACCACTTCGGCCAAGTCGAATGTCGTCAATGGTGGCACCAGTACACATGGTACCAAATCGAATAGTTCTTCCAGCGGTAGTCGGCCGTTGTGGAAAGAACGGCCTCATGTGGGTCGATACAGTCTGATCCGAACAATAGGAAAAGGAAATTTTGCCAAAGTCAAGTTGGCACAGCATCTGACAACTGGAATGCAGGTCAGTTGCTTCACCTTTAGTTTGCATTGTGTATGTGTGTGTGTGTGTGTGTGTGTGCACGTGCATTCGTTTGCTTGCATGTTTAATTTGGTACTACTTTACAGCGCGATATTCCTGCCTGTGTTCTAAACTGTAAAGTTTCACCTACGAGTTCTTTCATCACTGCGGTCTTACGCAGGACTGACCTTGCGCTTAACAAAGTCAACGTTCCTGAATTCTGGGTTTTTATTGAAGTTTCTGATTGAGAGGAAGTTAATGGGTGGGTGTTTCACTTGTGGATTCAGTCCGGCTAAGTGAGTTCGGTTTATGGAGACAGTCTTTAGAGGCGAACTTGCCTTCAAAGGTATTTTCGGATTCCAAAAGTGTCGACAGCACCCAACTGGACAGCATATGATTGGTTGGCAGAAGGCAGCATCCAATAGAGCACGGGTGGGATGGGTAAGAAGGGCTCAAAGTAATATGTATGGTAGTATGCTCTTCTGCCACCTTATTAAACAAATTGTCCCAAAGATGGTCACATTAGCTGGTTATTTTCTATCTGTTGCCTTACCGATTGGTAGAATCGGCCAGTTATTGCTACTCAAGTCGACTGATCAGCGTGCGCTTGTTTAACCGCGTCTTTCTGCCGATCTAGTGGTAAATACTCTGGTTCATTTTTGAGCTAGCGATGCGCCGAATTCCTTACTTTTCTGAACAGTCAGATCTACCTATAATGGTAGAATGTGGAGATTTGGTAATTACTGACGTGCCGTTCTACATTGACGCCATCTGGTCGGTCTTTTTAAACCCATGATTCAACCAGCACAAATGGGTTCTCACTTTTCTGGTCGCAACAGTCGGAGTAATTTTACTCAAACTTTGTTCCCTACGCTGCTTTTCCCTGAGAAATCTAGTGACGAACATAACCGCTATTTTAAGGTGTACTTTTATTCACGTCCACTCCTCTGGTACAGCATTTTCCCACTAATCGCCTCAGCGGTCAGTGTAGAAAAGTTTCTTTTACTGCGAGACGGATACTTACCGGGACCATGACTATAATACTCAAGTGTGTTCTGTAACCACGCTTGGTGAAGTATTATTTGTTTGTGTATGTCCAAATCAACCAGGGTTCGTGCTGGTTAGGTTTTTGTAAAATAAAATCTCCACTAGGTGGCGGTTTTTTTTTCAGCCGTTACCTGGAGTCCAATTTGCGCTTAACTGCCACCACCGTATCGGCCGTCTAGTAGCCTTCTGGAGGCCTGGTTAAAGATGGCGAATTTTGACACTCATGTCTCAGCTAAGAACTCTTTTAAAGCTGATCTGGCACCCCGCCAAAGTAACGTTTGACATGATATCCAAACAACTATTCTACTGTAGTGTTCTAGCCATGTTTTATCCGTTTCTTGTTTCGATAGAGCTATGACCACTCGACGATCCCTCCTTCACATAGGGAATGGACTACTCAACCTCGACCATTGCATCATTACCACTTGAACGCGATAGAGAGGTTGCTTTCGACTTGTAACTAATTGCCGATAAACTGAAGTGAACTGAACGTTCTTACTCGGTGACAACTCTCACTTTCTGTTTTCCCTCTTTATTCAGGTGGCCGTCAAGGTCATAGACAAAACCTTACTGAACCACTCCAGCATGCAGAAAGTAAGTGGGATAATTTGAGCAGTGTATGTCTAGTCAACCCTCTTGGTCGTGATTAATCTAATTAATCGATATCTGACTCATCCATGCGTTCCGTTTCTACCATCATCACAGTAGTGACGATAATGCTCCGTAAATGTTAACCCACAGCATCCCGTTGTCCGGCACTTAATGTAATAATTACTCAACCACATTCACAGGCACAACAGCAACCTGATAAATCTTCTTAGGCTATTGCTGAATCCCATCCACACCCTCCCATTGCGAAGGGTTCACAACGTCGAGATATGCGTCTGATCATCTAATCTGTTTCAGTGTGAACCACCGTGGAGGTAATAATGGGTTCCTGTTATGTCGGTATGATTTATCGGTTGCTGTTCGGCCTCCACCAAAGATTGCTCGGTCCGAATTCGCAACTAGGCGTATGCCAATATCCGTTTGTGTACTGCGGGAGACAGGCCATCTGAGGGTACCAACAAACTCGTCGGAAAAACTATCTGTGTTTCACCACTGTGGCGAGAATGATACCTGATCAGCCGTGAGTGATAAAGGGCCAACAGTTATGTCATTCGAATATACTGCAAAACTAACCTAACAGTTTGTTTACTTTGTTTTGTGCAATGATAAGCGTGACGAAGCCATATTCCCACAAATTTCTGTGTTCTTTGCAACGCCTTACAATTCACTCAATCCGTTTTTGCTAAGTTCGTTTCTTTTACTGCCTCCTTTTCTAGCTATTCCGTGAAGTCCGTGTGTTGAAAACCCTCAACCATCCAAACATAAGTGAGTTTTCTGTTTTTTTTTGGTTTCGTTCTGATAACCGTATTCACACGAAAAACCGACTGAATATTGTCCTTCTCATTGGACGTCTCAATAAAAAAACAGAATCTTACTTTGTCCTTGAAAACTGAAAGCAGAGAGGTGGCCAACCCTTGACTTGGCAAAGGAGTATGAAGGAGATCACGAAATGCTTGGGTGCTGTCGGTGCTACTCGCCTTCCAGGATTGGGACCGCGTGATCCTCACTGTCCCTGGTTGGAGACACTGCAAGATATGGCTGCCAACCGATGTCAGTGGCGTTCTTGCTGTCAGTTTCTATCCAGATCGCCTGAGTGAGTGTTTAGAGATATATACATCTCGGAATGATTGTGGTAAGCTAGCACTAAGCCCCTTCCCCGTCCACCTTTACGCTTTTTTTTACAATAAGGCTTCCAAATAAATCATGGTTGTACGGCAGTGAAGCATTGTTGTTGAGCAGTCATGTCATGCTGTCGATGATGATGATGAAACCGAAAGATTCATTTGATATCCTGAAGCGTACGTGATGCTCTTGCTGTTTGCATAACCTTTGAGATGTGCTAGCTTCACGTTGTGCCATTTTGTCGAGCAGCTAAGGCGCCTGTCCAGCAGTCTTCTGGATTTGATCGAGACACTTGCACATTTTGGAATGGAATATATGTATGTGGAACATCTAACTTATTAATGTGATGATGAAGATCGGATAGTTTGATGATAACTCCACAAAAATATCGGATGATGTGCAAATTTCTCCGGCACTCATTTGTATAGGTGGCTTATTTCGCTTCAGTATTTTAGGCGCGTAGGGAATTTAGGGTGTTTTCACTGAAAGTCGATTAGGTTGTCCGATTTTCCGACATCCTTTGTTAAGATGGGTTCTTGAAAAAAACATGAATCACTGGAATATGGATTCGCTTATTCGGTCCCCAGCAGCACGGTTGCCCCCATAGTAGATGGGTTCTTTGGTGATCAGCTTGAGCACAACACGTTCCTCTTGCCGTGATTGCCCGTATTTCTCCCAAAAAGGATAGAGCAGTTTCAGTATACTTTGCTCCACTATGATGATCGCAAGTGTCTTGTGAATTTGTCCCCCCGTTAGATCTCACGTTCTTCTTTTACCCGTATAATTGTATGGATATGTTTATCCGTAATTATTTCCCTAGGGATTTGTTCTTGTCTTGTTCATCCCACACACCGTCCTGAATCTCTGCATCACCATTGGTATCCTCAACGTGCAACCCTGCACACGTCACCTGTCAATCTTTCTTTGTTCCAATCGGTACTCTGTCGTCTGCCAACTGGAAGGAGAACACGAGGGAAGGATGTAACACATTTATAAGACGTCTTCTTTTCCTCTCTTTCTGCCTTGGCAGAACGTGTTCATATGTCTTTGTTTCCTCGACGCGTATCATATCCTCCCTCTTTATAAGATTATCGGACTTTGTTTCCAAACGTTTACTGAACGGAACAAAGTTCTACAAGCCACCGTGGGCATAATCCCCATAAGGCTACTCTAATTCCCTCCAAATTTCGGATCCTCCACAAGATAAGCACATACGCTTTCGAAAGAATGCGGTCATTTCTCCTTGGTTAGTGAAATCCCAGTCTTCAAGGAGAGGAGAATCGATAAGCTCTAAGTGTAGCACGTAACACGACTGGAAGTTGTGGAACTTCTATAAAACCACCCTGGGTTGTTTGTTAAGCGCACCGATCCTTGTTGGTTATAATGCAAATGGCTCTTTCGGTCACACTTCTTGTCAGATGCTCAGTGATCGGAACTTTAAGATTCCATTATTCTTTTACTTTCGGCTGTCTTGAGCCCCTCAGGTGTATACGCTACACGGTTGTCAGCATTTGTTCCTCTTCCTGTGATCCCTGGGACGTCTCAGTATGGTCGGGGTCCGGGCTATCAGCTGACACGTTCAGTGTTCCGAAACGGAATAACTGACAGCGTCACAGACTGCTTTTAATAACATAATGGACCCCTGGGTGTCCAACTCACCCCTCGGGTATGATCACATTAGTTCGGGTATTTGTTTACCCCCGCAATATACCCAGCCGATCTTCTCCAGCTCTACGCACTACATTCTGTCTGGATTTATACCGGGTCGAATCGGAACGCTTTCCCTTTCTTGATATAGTGTAGAGTCGAAAAAACAGCGCGTCACGTTTCGTACCCTCTTGATGCAACAATGCATATTCAATAAATTGTTTGGCTGCCCGCGCTTGGCATATTCTACGCTAAAACTAACTGTCTCTCTCACTTTGTGGAATAATTATGTCGCATGCCTACATCTTTTCTGTTTTAAACCGAATGGTATTTCCGACCGGATCAAGTGGCTAATTAAACCATGTTTCAGCTGATACATACATACATATACATATATGCATATACATAATTGGAATTCTTTTGATCCTTCATGGGCGTCGAAGTGCCAGGTGAACTTATTGTGTTTGGGGGGGGGGGAGGGTCGTGTCCTTATTGTGTTTGGGGGGGGGGAATTGGTCGTGTCTTAGGGATACGATTATCCTGTATTTCGCGGTCGGCGTGAACAGCAATAAAATCATATCAGGGAGAGTTCCTCTGCTCGGGGGATTATTAGACTAAGGAACTACTGCATACGCATATGAAGTCGATAAATAATCTGGTGTTCAGTATATGCGTAATCAGCTAGTCGGCCTAGCTTAAGCCATTCTTGACCCAAAGCTTCTGCCTTGCGAGCCAAACTAAGTGAGACTTAAGGGGATGATTTTGAAGCAGTATAGTTAGCTTAAGGTGTGGCAGAGGTAAACCAAAATCTTAACGCGTGGTTTCCCAAGATTTGATCTTCAGTTCAGATACATGTTCAATCATTTTAGTATCGTCTATTCAATGAGATTTTGAAAAGAAAATGTTTGAAATGTGAAGCCTCTAAAAACTTAGTGCTCCAGTATCACATTCCATGGTTTGTTAATTCTGTTCAGCTGGTTCGTATTGCGCAAGTGAGCTGACGTGTAATCTGCCGGATTGTCACTCACGTTTTTGAAGTTTTAAGCCAGCCTAAACTGCAAGGCGCGGTCGTGCACTATCATTCACAATGCGAATACAGCATGTATCTATGTCAGTATTTTACTCTCATGAGTGGATTGTACTTGCTACATTTAGGTGTCTGGGTGCCAAATGGAAGTAGGCGCGATGGCTGGGATACTGCCAGGTTGCTCAATCCTAGACAGGAGCAGTCGAATCGATTTAAGTCGGAATCTCGGTATTGCAAACGAGCTGACCCTTCGTCGTATACAAGTATACCAGTATACGAGTATATTTTTACGGCTTTATGTATGAAGCAGCCTACATATAGATTATCAGGATGGGGATCAGTCATGTGAGATTTGAACATAGTTCGTTGAAACGGTGGTTCGTCCATCCTCGTATCCTCTCGTTCCTCCGGGGGGGAGGGGCACATTCATGGTTTAAGTCTTTTCCAAAGCGATACTTGAGGCTAACTCTAATGAGACAATGCTTATTTGATTCATTGTGATATACAAGGTAATGTGCACATTTTTCTATCTTGCATGGATAATCAGTACTGAATTTTAGCGATTTTTGCTGTATCTCACTTGCTGCACATTAAACGAACAATAAGTCCTGTTTCTTCACTACGGCCTTCTCCGTCTTAGCATTCAGTAGTTCGCACCATAATTAAAGAAATGAAGGTTTCGTTAAAACTTCAGGAGTTGCTTTTTATCTGAGCATGCACAGGGGTTTGTCTCAATCAGAGGACCGAAAAATAAACAGTGTTGTGATTTGTCCAGTTTTATGTTGCTGATAGTGCCGACTTAGGATATTTTATCCAATAAAAAGGACTCAGTCAGAGGATTGACAGTTGGGTTTTTTGATTTTATATCGTGACACTGATTGAACGAGTTTCAAAACCTCCGCTAGCTATCCTCGGGGAAAATTGATCTCAATTACCCTTTTCCCTCTAAATCATCATCACCGTCGCCAGTTATAAAAACCTCGTACTTGCTGTATAGTGGTTATTTTTGCCACATTTTCGTTCGCCGATGATTTGGAAAGGCGGGCTAGATGGCAATACGTTGAAGGTAGCAGCTGAGCTTTCCATTATGGAAATCAGGAGGGGAGCTATGCATTAAAGACAGCAGTTTGGTGCGCAAACGCCACTGACGGCTCAACTGGGCCATGTCTGACAATGTCTCTAACCATTGATGTGCCTGTCCTCTCACGAGATCCCAGCCCAGGGAGACGGCAACGGCCAGCGTAGGTGAGTTTACTGCTAATGACTTTTATGCTTCGCTGCCAGGTCATTGTTTGACCTTCCCTGGCTTTCTTTGACTAGTGGGTAAACTCCAACTTCATACTAGATTCACAGAATCCTGTCAAACAGTGACACTGGCTTTTTGACACTCCGTCTTTTTGAAACAGCTGTTCCAACGGTCCTTTTAGTTGTCATTGTAGCAATGCCTTGCACCGATCAGCTGAAGTGGAAAGGATGATCAGTAATATCAGCATTTCATTCACTGATCCTTAGTGTATCTCTTCTCAATGAAGATTTAGTTCGGTCCTGAAAAAAAGGAATACAACAGCCGATAATGTTCTGTTGCTGTTCGGCTACATCAGTACCTATAATTTTCACGGCTTCTGGCAAGTTAACGAAAAGAGTGACATCTTAGATTTTGCCGGCTCGTGCAAGCAGGCTCAGTTGCAGAGCTTGAAGGAAGCTTATTCGATTTCATTTGAGATTGCCAGGCAACTGTCTTACGATAGTTCTTGATCTGGTTGTCGGAAAGTTAAGATGCGCTGCTTACGTGCCACATGTCGGACAATCCTTGACGTATCTCAAGTTCCCGCATCTGTCATTTTTAGATTTCTGTCATAGTTTTTCTAGGGATGGTTCAACAGTTGTTAGTTGTGATATATTTTGAAAGAAATACCAAGACGTTGACATGAAAAGGAAACAACCTTCCTTTCTCCATTTCTCGCGAAACGTTGAACATCATGTTCATGCGCAGTGTGAAACCTGAAACGAATCCGCCTTAGACTAATCCTTCGACGCGTCATTGACCTAAATTTGGATGCCTTTTACTTCTATCGATCATTTTTTTCCATTCGATTTAATGCTACACCGTTAGACTCCATTCGAACACAGACCGACTAAGATTGACCGTATCTTCACTTTTTGCCCTGCTTGAAGTCGATGTCCCCAAGTGCATCTCACATATGAGGTCGAGTCGTGGGATGCCGGTTGACTTCCTGCAACCGGCTGTTGTTCGTATTTCTCCCCAGTCTTCCTTATACGTGTAAATTCTATACACACTTGTTGTTCTGTTACGTTGATCGGTAACCAGTCCAGCATCGCTCTTTCTATCTACAAATTCCCGATAGATTACTTTACAACGTTACACAGTAAACCCCTAAGAGGGCAACTGTCTGAGAGCTGCCGCGGTTGTGAAATAAGCTTTTCTCGCGGTGCCGGTTGTCCAGGACTGATGCCTGACTGACTCCCTTTAGTGGGTAGCCTCTTTACGCGAGGTTTCTTGGAGTCATGTTGTACACTTTTCTGATGGGCGTTCATCATTATAGCTTCGTCTCTCGGATACCGTTTCTCCATTTTCTTCGACAACATTATAAAGATGGAAGGCAGTAAATAAACTTTTCTTTTCTCCTTAGTTAAACTGCTTGAAGTAATCGAATCCGAACGGCACCTGTACCTCGTAATGGAATATGCCAGTGGGGGTGAGTTATTTTGGTTGTTTTCAATCGATGGATTTCCTGTGTGTTCCCATTCAATGGTCCGTTAAGTTATGTTTTCAACCTTCTTTGTCTCAGCTCAGTCGCCCTGTCTGTTAATCTATTCATGTGGTTTTCCGTGGGTCAACTATTTTGGTTCTAATGGTTATTCCCGAAATAGTGTTCGCCTGCCATGGTCCTTATTATTCACGGATTTAACAGATTCTGTCGACACTCCAGTGCCTAGGTTCTTCGCAGTCCATATGGAGCTCGTTTTTTCAGGTACTTACATCTACTTATTTACTACACCATCATCTTGGAATGTGCCAACATCCACTCAGTATTCGCAGCCCTGTCGACATTCACATTACCTGTATCAGTTTGTTGATAATTGAGACAGAATGAAAGGGAGTGGAATCTTGTCTGAACAGAACAAGCTATTTTGATTATAGACAAGGGATATAGGTGGTGGGGATATGTCCAAACGCACATCAAACGTATGGGACCTCCATATGATTGATTCCACGTGTGCTGCAAGTTGCATGCCTCCCACCCAACAGGTAATATCTATTTTGGGATTGACTGTTTCACTGCCTGCCACAGGCAGCATATGTTGAATTTTGTCGTACAGTATAGCCTACTAACAAGCTTCCCACTGAGCAACCACTAAACAAGTTAGCCTCCTGAGTACCAGTTCTCCTACAATCTCGTGATTACAGGTGGCCAAGTTTTCAACCATATGACGTAGGTTAGAAAATATTTTGCGCGTTCTAAATGTCTGTAGTATGTAGCTAGCACGTATGCTCGCTGCTGCGCGCAGGGGAAACATAGTACCATTCTGACTGACCCCAGTTAATTCTCACCGCAAAACACTCCAAACGCGAATCTCAGGATGTCCGGTTTACGTACTTGTGAATCTTAGTAGGTTAACCTCGACTGTCAACTTGCAATCTCGTTCGAAGATATTGGAAACTCAAAAATCTCGATCAGAATTGAAGAACTAATGGATTCGTTTTCACAACTACAAGACGATAACTTGATGACCACAGTGAATGAGAAAAATGAGGAATTGTCGGAGCTATCGGAGATTTCACCGTATTCATCAACAGCCGTTTTCCAGATGGAGGGCTAGAAACCAACTCGAAAGTCAATAGGTAAAACTCTGATCGATCGGCTATCATAATTTCCGTGGTGAGAGCCTGCACTTTGGAAGCTCTACCGCTTTGACATAAACAAGCCCTGTCACCAATGCGTTGAGCGATTGCACCTCACAAGCGCCCCTGCATGGTTCAAACAGGCGACGATGACAGGGCGGCCGTTATGTTTGGATAAAAAAAATGGTGTGGCAGTACAGCCCGAGGGTCGTAGCCAAAGATGCGCTTGATCTAAGCCGCATGACGTTATGTTTGGTTTGTGTCGAAGCTCGCAATGGCAGGATAAAGTAACAGGAACTGTTTTTGCTGTCACGAACTCTTCAAAGGAACCGTTTGTGATACTCGTAAGGTAGCGTCTCATTTGCGTACATTACGCTGTGTCCTTTATGTTTTGGCATCCTGTTCAAATATGCACTGTTTTTCGGGACACATGAGTGGTACGCCTAACCGTTCCTGACATTTACAGTTAAACTTAACTTGCAAATGAGGCTTTTCTCTGTCACGTGATTAGTAGTGAAAGATGCGTGCGATTTATCAAGTGTGGTATATCCGTGACAGGTCCACTATCGACACCGTGCGTCGCACTTTAATGACAAATTCAGAGTTTCAGGCTTGGCCGTTTTCTCATTTTGGCTATAGTACAGAACCCGAGCTACCAACTGAAGTCCGGATAATAACGTATAGTAACAGTCTTTCAACCTTGGCATTCTTCTTCAACCACTTTTAGAAGGGCTTGGGATTATCCGTTGAATGGTTCGTAATATACGATGCTTTTCATTTGATATTGTCAGTTGATTACGAAAATGTTTTGTAGTCAGAGATGACTGGAGTGATGCGCATCAGAGTGGAGAATTTTGTGGTTGTTCTGCTAATGCACAGTGAAATCAGTCCAAACTGTTCTCTGGGACTAGAAACCACCATGATTGAACCACATGTTTAGCACCATTGGCGTTTTTAATCACTCAGGGACGCTGTTCACGAATTGGGTGAGGAATGCACTCCACCCACAAGGATCAATGTGCTAGGAAGCAGGAAGCACGAGGTCTGGGATACTGCCAGGTTGCCCAAGCCTAGACAGGGAAAGTCGAGGGACAGAGGTCGGGTTCGAACCACGGACCCTCGGGTCAGTAAATTCGCGCTCTAACCACTTGAACCATCTCCCCCAATGTGCTAAGGTCTGACTCATCCCCACTGTAATGTTTGCGTGCTCCTCCCCCAAGAAGCTGTCACACCATCGCCCGCTGTGCTTAACTGACAAGTTTGTAAGCAATTACCAGTCAACAGTCTTCCTGATATCTAAACACCCCTAGATTACACGGTACAGCAGCTAAACGACAGCCAAATGAATGTTTCTACGATTTTTCCCCTCACCATCTAGACCAAATGTTGATTGGGTTCATAACCTATGAAAAAGCAGCGTTTTAATTGGTACAGAGTGGTTCCATATGCAATCACCAGTCGAACCGTCAGCTTTGCCTTGCTAATTCCCCGCTTTTCTTCGTCGAGACTTAATGACACGTCCATTATCTCCGCACAGAAATGTAACTATGTTAGATTTCACTCCAAAAGCGTTCTTTATTGGTTGTACGTCCGCCGAATAGGACGTTCTCGTTGGAGGAATAAGCGTTCCCGATTTCCGTCCTGGTGAATTTCGTTCCCCCCAGTAGGTATTCCATTTTGGGAATGATCGAATGGGGATATTAATTTTGCGTGGCGTGTAAGCCTTACGGTTACATTCTTAATCAAACGAACAAGGTGATCACTCTCGTCGTCTTTTTTGCTCGAACAACCCTCCTCCTATCCTGGTGCAATCGTTCTGGTTGATCCACATCAGCATGAAGACTAAGCAGAATGGTTGCTCGAGGATTGAAGGATAAATTCTCAGATGGAAGCGATGTGAGCGCAAATGCCATAAATTCCACATTCACGTACAACGAAGTGGATAATATTTGAGAGTCGTTCGACCTGACGGTATGCGAACCCGGTCCAACTCACGTAGACTATTCTTTTGCCTGTAGAGCGAGAGCGTCAATCGGATTTAGTTGAACTAGAGACATGTTGTTGACAAGTCACATCGAACTATGGTTTTGGGAAAGGGTGGTATATTTATTTCATTTCGGTTGCACTTGCTGTGGCGTGGACAACTCTTTTAACCAGTGGTGTATCAAAAATCTGACCCAACACTGTCCGGTTGTCAATCATCCTGTCGAAGCTGTCATTCTCCTGTCTCGAATTCAACTGACTTTTCCCGTCTGAATGCACATGCTCCAAATGAATTTGGACGCCTCATTTCCATCTGAATATATAGCAGTCGTAGCCATCCAGATCTGACTGGGCAGTTTTTCTGCGTCGACGAATTGCCCTTTATGCTTTATTTTACTGGAGAAGCTCTCTTCTTCGGCATCCTGGTTCCCTTCCACCTTGCTTCCAATCAGCTGGACATGTTTCCGAATGGCGTCTGCCGTTTGCATGTTGACATGTTTAGTGCCGTTATTTTCATACGGACAAGTAAACGCATCTCCAATTCGTTTAAATGCTTGTGGCTATCGTCCTCTGATTACTTACTCCACCCCATGTTCGCGTGTTGTCTCACTGTTCTCTAACTAAGCATCCTAGTTACTCGTTTTGAGAAAGTTTATCAGACGGATGGTAGCCGTACGGTGAAAGCTATGCAGAAAATATCTAATTGTCATAAATATACTCAGGAAGTCCATGATTTGTTCTTGGAGTTCCAGAACCGCAATGCGACCCCTGGTCATCTAAGCACCTATTCGAAATGTCAGCGTGTGTGCATTGTGGCCTGAATCTGATTGTTGCGGTTTTCGTTAGGCATCCAATTTCGTACTATGGTCGCTGCTGTTTAGTTACTATTCCTTGCAGCGTCTCGAACCGGTTACTCTTCGTTAAACAAACAGGTTTTATTTCTTTTTCTAGTTGTTTTGGTTTCCTCTTTGACTTCGGCAACACCTGGGATTAATGTGAATGGCCGGCGGTTGGATACACAGATATAATGGTGTCAACTCCTGTCTTGGATTTGCAATTTTCAAATACACTTTAGGTACCCAGTTTGCACAGACCTTTCCTCATAGCAAAATCCAGCTGGAAAAAGGGTGAACGCCGATTACTCGTAATTGCGAAACAAATTTTATTGATAGCGCAAATTATATATGGCCGTGTAAACTGCATGTGAAATCAAACTGAGCCTGTATTACGGTGAATGCATGCGGTCGGTACTAACTCATAATTTTCAGATGGATATTTTGTAAACACTGGCTGCAAAAAGTAAAATCCAACGCTCAAGAAGCAGAGCTTGTTTTACAGATAGAATAGAGAACAGTATGTTGCTCTTTTGTCCTCTGCGATGTTTGGAGCTGGGATTCAGGAAGGCGATGTGTTGTGAATCGGTTTTCTGCAGGCGCGTTATCCATGTCCGCCGCCGTAACTGCACCATTCATCGCTTTCTTTGTCTGGCTTTATCGAAGTTTCCAACCTGTTCCATAGAACCTTGTTTTTGCCGACTAATGTCCTATCGACCGCTGGCACCCACTCATTTTGTCTGTGCAGAAAACAACATTATTTATGTTGAGCCGAAGCATGTTTTTACAATCTACATGCTCCCACTTGCTCACTGGTACCGCAGCCTCGTGCAATCGATAGAGAATTCGTAACATGTTTTCACCTAGATGAGTGTCCTGTTTCATTAGTATACACAGCTCTACTCGTACTGGCCTTCATTAGAATAAACGTGGCTGACCAAACTGAGATCACATTTGAGCTGACCAGTCTGTCTACATCCGTTCAATATGCGGTTGCTCAATTCGTGTGCGCCTTCAGCTACTTCACCACCAAGCCGCTTGGCTCCCAATTCTGTGTTTCACTCTTCAATCTCTTTTCCTTTGATTTTTTCCTGAGGCTCTGCATGTCGTGGTGTAACACACTAGCATGTATTTTCTACGGTGATCTCTCTGGATTTAGCGCACCAAGGCACACTTATACAGATCCATATGTGTGTGCATATGCATATCACTACCCAAGGTCCTGAGTTGTCAAGCTGCATGTAGTTTTGGGAGCTCCTGTTCTACGTGACACCACTTAGTCCTTGATTTACCACATCCCGTTAGCTATAGTACCCAATGAACTTTTGTCATTGTTTTTCAAAGGAGTACTTTAAATGTATATTTCGGATTAACGAAAGCCTTCAGTAAGCCAAGGACTCCTGTCTCGGGATCTGTCTTGTTTGAAGAACTGTTTCGGTATCCCCACTATTACCGAAAAGTGCACATTGGACGTCGGCCTCCAGAATACAAGTAGTGTGTTGGACTTGCTTAAGGAAAGTCGAACCGTTGTCTACTCGTGAGTTCATATGGCTACAGAGCAACAAGCAATTCCGGTGCATGCTTTAATCGGACATTCTATTGCAAGTTACTGGGCACTTTCCCATCGGCTCGCGTAACGGCAATTTTCTATTCGTGGTTATATCGTTTCACCACTGAAGTTGGACCATCGACCGTAACAATTACGAAGCTGTACTAAGCAGTTCGGCATACGTGGAAACTCTGGCTTGCTGCATTGCCGTACGGGATCGTTGGGTTTGAACTCATTTCACTCGGTCACATTCCACCCTACCGCGCTTGCATATTATGGGAGAACTAGGTCCAACAACACCAACCAATGTGCCGAGGACTTCAGATGAATCTGATAGGTTGTGGGTGGTTGTGGGCATTGTAAAATTAACATTCACTTCACTCTCGTTTGAATAGTCCAGTTCTGTCCTGCTGGGTCACCACCAGGTGGATTAGACACTGGACATAGCGTCAGTTCCCATTAGAGCTCATCAGCAGTGCATATCCGCGACCGTTCCAGGGCTTGAATTCCCGACATTTGATTAATTAAATGGGTTGTGCCATTTACCTGAATTTTGAAACGAATCACATAAGAAATCGGTTTCCACGTTAGGAGACTTTACGTTTGTTACTGCCGACTAACTACGTTTTCCTGGTCTATATGGACTAAGATTGGAAGTTTTTGTCTTCCTGCTAATCGTTTCTCCTTTGTTTCGTTTCGTTGTCAATCCTACTCAAATGGAAGCTGAAGAATAAGCACGAATTACCCATCTGTTGGGAGATGTGGGGAACGTCTGTTCTTTTTTTGTTTTCTNCTATCGGATTCTTCGTACAAACAGAATCTTTCTGTCCCCCTTCTGGGATTGAAATCATTCTCACCACGTCGCACGTGAGCAGAAGCCTACCAGGTTGTTGATCCTAGCATTAGTGAAGCTAACAGTTGCCATGGATTTAAGTAGTGAAGCAGACTGCCCCATCACTCATCAGCATGGCTATCTGGGCATTCAATGTCAGCCACACCTTATCCGCAATTTTCCAGTGTGCACTGAACAGAATTGTTGAACAAGTTTTAAAAAAGTCGAAGCAAATTTTCCGTGAAATTGATCGCACCCTCTTTTGCAATTCTCAGTTCAGCCCATTCTATCGGATACGCTTCAAACTCGTTTTATTTCTCCCATTCACCCTTCTCCCTCTATCTCTCATCGACCTTCAATGTTGCCATCTCTCGAACTATGATTACCTGTTCCGAGGGAAACCATCACCGTCTGTGGCATTTTGTGTGATAGTGTCACATTCGCTTAGCTCTTTGGGTGTGTATCACACGAGTCCGTTCGTCTTTAACAACATCAATAAGCCCAAACATGGTCTTGGCACAAGCGAGCATGGATCCGATAATGTCAGTGGCGATGGTTTGTGTGTGCCTGTGTCTTTCTGTGCGCTATCTGGTCGACCGTGTTCTTCTGTCTGGTATACAGTGTCCCAACAACGGTGGTCTTAGTGCACCCGTCTGGATGCAGGTAATGTGGAATGTCGATGATGTTTGGATTTGACTGGCGGGTTTCAAATGTATATGTTGTGGTACAGATTATTGAGTCAGGATATGGTTGCCACGTTACGCCAGTGAAATTCACCCTAGCCTGATTACCCTGGATATGGTAATGCTACCGCCTTCGTTTGTACTCCGCTTCCCAAACTGAATAATATACTACCTGTTCCTGTTTGTGAATTTCCTTATGGAGACGGATCCATCATTTTTGTTTCTCCTGCCTGTGGGGGGCTAAATTGGGTTGTAGAGTTTCCTTGAATGGGGATACCGTGTATGAGTGCACACCCACCTGCAGTTTCCGGAGTCGTTTAACTCGAAGGTGGCACTATAGGTTATCGTAATCCCGACGAGACGGCTCAGTGGTTAGAGCGCGAATTTACTGACCGGTAGGTCCGTGGTTCGAACCCGGACTCTGCTTCTGGACTTTCCCTGTCTAGGCTTGAACAACTTGCCAGTATCCCAGCCCCGTGCTTTCTTCGGGTGGCGTGGCAGCTAGGCGCCGAAAGGGTGCTACAGCTGTGCGATTATCCAACCGAATTCATATTACAGAAGTGACTCAAGGGATTGTTTTACTTCCTCTGATCCGCCGACTATAACCGCAGAGCAGAGTCAGTCATGGTAATTGAACGGTGGGACGTGTCGCTGGAAAAAGGGCTATATGATGTGTAAACTGTTAAGCGTAGCCGAATGGGTGAGCCAGCCACCTGTCAGTGAAGATTTCGTGTGTTCACTTTTCTAATCTGGTCATTGGTGGGAAGCTTAGATATAGTAAACAAGCCCAGAACTATCTTGACTACAATAGATACTGGAGAGCTCCGTCGTGCTGCTCCAAAAATCTGGTCTTCGTACTTTATGAGCCGTTGTTGGCCGAATGGTTGAAACACTTAGATGTAGATTCCAGCTTGTCTCCAATCCAACAATAGTGCTACGAGTAGGTCGCTTTCGTTTCTGCAACTGATGTTGATTACCACTCCGAAGTAGCTATTGCGGACTAACCGCACCACACCGTCCTGCAATTATACTCCCACTCGGAAGTAGACTTGTCCTTCCTTGTCGTGGCTTCTGCTTGGGAGGATTGCACACCAGGTTTTGGCTGACGCTGTTGCCTGTTGGCTACCATATCCATTCTGGTGCGCTGATTCTATGGTGTCTGTCAACTTACGCCAAAGGGTATCGTTCTTCGTTGCATTCACTTAAAACACTCGATATTGGACCACGTTATTTTCCAGTCATTGCACTCGCTAGTAGCCTCTAACACATTCTTGGTCCCAAAAACGTTAGTTTGATTCTACTTTGATGTCATAGTTCCTGTGCTGGACTGGTCCCTTAAACAAGGGTAACGAGAGCGGCACCACTTGTTCGCAAATGAGGCGATTTTTCATGATCCTGCAAATCGTAACAGTTGTGAATGCTTGTGAATTAGCCCTTGTTGCTTCAAGGTCACTGGTATCTTCCCTGACCTCTTTGATTCGTAATTTCAATATTCTTTGTCTCTGATCGCATACTGACGTTGTTGTTTTCACTCTACCTTGCTTCTCCAAAAAAGGTGAAGTATTTGATTACCTGGTGGCCCACGGGAAAATGAAAGAAGCGGATGCACGCATAAAGTTCCGACAGATTGTTTCTGCCGTGCAATACTGTCATCAGAAAATGGTCGTCCACCGGGATCTGAAGGTTTGTCTTACTTTCTTGCATTTATCGCATTGGTAGCACATAGCCAAAAGACACCTTGAACTGTGCCAACTTTGTTTTTGTATGATATAGAAGACAATGTTGATAGCTCTGTCCGTGTATTTTCATGATGAGGCTTGGCCACATGACGATCAGAGAAACTTTGTTGACCTGAGCATCAACGGGATGATTCGAAGTCGTGTTGTTGAATTTAAGATTCAATTTCACTGTTATACTGACAGGGTCACTGGGTTTCAAAAATTCTCCGTCGCTGTCGTGCATTCATGCCAATTTACTGCAACAAGAGCCTTTCAATTAAAAAAATGGCTGTAGGTCAGGTGAAAGGCAAGAAGGATTATTTTTGTTTTAATGGGAGACTCAGCCGAACCGCAGCTGAATCATTTGTTTATTATATTCTACTCAATATGCTACACAGTTGGCACGGTATCCGAGATACCTCGCTACACGTTCCAGACGAAACGCATTACTCACCAGGTTGCTAAAAGTTCCTGGAGAGATTCACCTGGTCTCCGGTTAAAACCAAATCAGTGTGCGAGTGAGTGTAATTGGGGTTTCAAATAAAGCATTCATTTGACGGAATCTCGGCGACCAAGTGGGCCAGAATAATGGCGGAACCGGCCGTTAGCTTTCGACAAGTTTTCAGCCACCCTGCGAGCAGTTTGTCCCATCATGAATGGTTAGTTTTCAACAAATACTATAAGTGATTCCAAGTACAATTATCGATTGAATGTAGTGGAACCGGAGTGACTTTCAAACCTGACGGCCGACAGAACTTGTTCTCCGTGTCTAATGGTTTACCAACGGACGAGCAGATTGGAATACAATACTGCCTCTGGTTAGTTGATCAGCCAGTAACATTGCTTGTGAATGTATGCACAATGTGAAACTGGCTTCTGGAGATATCACCTTGCAAGAATCGGGTAACGTCGTACGTAACCGACCAGATATTTGCAGATAATAAGACGAATCTAGAAGCCCGTAGCAAGTGTACAACTCTTAGTTGAGAGTTTAATGTGATTTGACGGACCACGCATGATTTTGCTGTATGTATTGTGGGATGATTGCTCACAATGACGGCCATCCACTACTGGTTTCCACCTGTCCCAATTCTATCAGGAAGCAGAGATAACTAAATTCTGTCTCTGGACAGTAATCTGTTCGAATTTCTACTTTTCACTGGTAGTCCTGACGACTATCATGAATCGTTAAAAAACCAGTTGCTGCAAACAAGTCATTAGACAAAGTTCATTCTGAAGGGTGTTCAAACTAGGCTTTAGATTATAAACGCAAATTTTACGTGTGCAACAATTTCATAGTCAGTGAAAACTTGACTAGTTACTTGATTCCTTTTATGTGTTCATCAAACTTGTTGAAACGGCCTAAGCCAACTGGTCACAAACCGTTGGGTTTTCGGGTTTTCCCCGAATGTCAGCGTGAGGGCGACTGTTGGCTTGCTCCGTTTTGGTAGCTAGCAGAGTGACCTGGAAGCATAACTGTGGTAACAAACACCTTCCTTCTGTAACCTTTCTTCGGAACGCCTCTGCGTTCCGCTCCAGTTCCAAACTACCTGACTTCGTACCCCAGCTAACAACTTAAACTTGTTTCAAAGTTGTCATCCGGTTAGCTCTGATTGTTTAACTTAGTGTGTAAAGTCGTCCTAGTTTCCAGTCGTGATGTATTGGTTTGCATATCTGCCGTACCCTCGGTTTCATGCACACGCATCTGATGTATGTCTGCATCCTGAGTTTCCGACTAGTAACCACTGGTCGTGAGTCACTTTGCACTTGGCGCGTTCTGTAACCGCTGTCTGTGTTCTTCTGTTTGCGCGCTACATGATTCATCCAGGTTGCTGTTTCTTTCAATGTAAAGCAGTGATAAATAATAGCCTCCTAACTTTGTTATTCTTCTAGTGCTCAGCTGCCGTGTAAACCGGAAGGAACTGGTGTATGGAAATGCTGTCAGATTACGCAACAACAAACAGAGAAAGGAAGGAATACCGGAATGTTTACAAGTCAGCGACACAGACAGTTGCTCGGGCCTAGCTTGTAAGCCCTCTAGGGCTCACCTTAGATTAGTCTCAGGTTTGCTGGGGACGGTTAATCTTACTTACTTTTCAGTCTCATTCCTACTCAGTATCGCCTTGTGGTTAGCTTTTGCCCGGTGAAGCCGTATTGAAGTTTTCTGTTGATAGGTGCAACTCAAAGATGCACAGGACTTTAAATTACTTTTTTTCTCATGTGCTTCTGAAGTACCAGTGAGTTGGAAGTGGTTTTCGATCTCACCGTTGAGCTTTGTATAAGCTATACGATTTTCACTGTCTCGTATCGGAGGAACAACATCGCGGAAAACCGGGTCAGTCTCCAGCACAGCAGTTTCTCCGTTACGGCTTCTCACTGCTTGTGGCGTACGCTCTGACGGACGTGGACCTAGCATTATTTGCTACCGTTGTTTGTCGATGAATGTACGGCCAAGCAATCGCGTCCAATACTTGTTCTGGCCGAAAATAACTCTTTATTCATTGGTCTGAACGCTTCACATAATTGGATCCGTGCTTCGCTTCTATGTGTGCGTGTGTCCGTGGAATTAACAACTTCTTCGGTAGAGCATTCCCGAATTTTTTCTAGATTTTTTCATACACCATCAGATCCAGGTCCCAAGGTTCCAATTGTACTACAGTAGGAAGAGGGTAGAAGGGTCGAAAAATGGAACCACTCAATTGTTAACTCGAATCCATCTTCATAAAAGAAACTACTCACAAAGTCGCTGAAAACTCTTCGACAGCCCACGACCGGTTTCGCCTTTCGTGGGGCTCATCGGGTAGGCACAGTCCCCGAGTTTCCGTCAACTGAATCATGAGGTGGCCTGTGTGCAGCACATTCAGTTGTAGAATATCATAAACGAGAGATTGAGTTGGGTCTCTCGTGAAAATCAAATTGATTTGCAAGTGAGTGTATTTCTTGAATACATCTTCCTCACCTATGTTCGCAAATCTCTTCAAAACCCCAAGGCATCTGGCTACACTCACGGATGTTCTAAACAGATGCGCGACGCTAACATTTCAGTCACTTGATTGTGTCTGTCCCACTTGACTGGGGCATCTCGGTTATTCTTTTAATATCACCACTAAGACCAAGTGATATATAGAGATTATCAAGTAATCAGCCTCGTGGATGTTGCCGCAAAGATCTTCGCTTTTCCAAAGTGCTGTGTACCGTAGCTAGAAATGACTTGCACCACCAGTCACTCTGTCGCGGATTACGAAACACTTGACCTAATTGTGGCACAGCCATTTGCTTTCTTGGCTTTCGCACTGGGTTTGACTTTTTCCGAGAGGTATGCCACACTTTCAGCTCTCATCATGTCTCACCACTCGCCAACAAAAGTTCCAGTTTCATTCTATTCCAAAAATGTGATTTTAGTTCACCTTTCATTGTAATCCTGGGGTGCTTCTTATCGCTGCTGTTCAACCTATCTGACTGGACGATGTATCTGGCACGTGGGTTACACCATAGCTTACAAAAACACCCAAATAGTTTAGATGTGAATCACTGTGTTACATTGTCTCACTTGGAGGAATGTGAGAGTCCTTAAAGTCATCCTGGATTCAATCAAGGGGTCGTCTGCTGGTGGCGAACGCTACTCCAAAAAGTATTCACAACATTTCGTTAATCGGTTTCTACGATCGTGTTTAACGTATAAGGGAAAAATACATTGTTCTTCATATCGATGTACGCAATGTGCGCCATGGGGCGAGATGCCTCAAGCGGTTAGAGCGCCAATTTACTGACCGGAAGGTTCATGGTTCGAACCCTGCCTCGGCATCTCGACTTCCCCCGTCTAGGCTTGGGCACTCTGGCAGTATCCAAGCCCTCGTGCTTCTTTGGGGTAGCATGACAGCTAAGCCCTGGAAGGGTATTACAGTTGAACGATTATTATTATTATTATTATTATTATTATTATTATTATTATTAATTTACGCCGTTTGGCGATTCTTGTAGACTTTGGAGACAGTCTTCTTAATTCTGCAGTTTGGCGGTCTCACCGTAAAGCACCCTCGCATTCGAAGTGTATGTATCCGAGAAACTTAACGGCTTGGCAGATTGCACACATGCTTGTCCAGCAAAAGATGCGTTTTTATCTTACAACCCAGGCAATTACTGCAGTTTCTGTGATTTCAACGGTTCACTCACGTTACCCGAATACCCGAAATCATGCTCCGGTAAAACGCAACAGCTCACTCATCATGTGCTGGGTGTCGCTGCTGTCTAGGGGGCTACGGGATATGGAATGGTTCGGTATCAACGTGGCACATGCTATTCGTTGCTGGGATCGTAACTGGATATCACGCTGCGTGCACTTGACCTCTGACTGCCGTTGTGAACTGTACCAGCACGAGTTTGTGCAAAGCCTAGTTATTTTTTCGCGAGCTTCAATCTCCGTAAGTTTAAATCAGTAAGCTAGCAGGGAGGTAAAGTATACCGCCATCTTCAAACTGGTACCCTGTTAGAACGAAGACAGTCTGTTTCAACTGACGATTGCGTGCATAGCGAGTGCCGTGGCTTACATAAAAACCGAGGACTTGGGTTTCTCTGCTTTTGTGCGAATTTCAAAGTTACAACACTATCTGATGTCCTTAGATGATCACTCTTCTTTGTATTCCACTCCACAGGCCGAAAATTTGCTGCTAGACGCTGACCTTAACATAAAAATAGCCGATTTCGGGTTCTCCAACTACTTTTCCACTTCGCAAAAGCTAGACACTTTCTGTGGGAGCCCTCCGTACGCAGCACCTGAATTGTTTCTCGGTCGGAAGTACGAAGGTCCTGAAGTAGATGTCTGGTCCCTCGGTGTCATTCTGTACACTCTCGTCAGTGGAACCCTACCGTTCGATGGAAAAAATTTGAAGGTGAGCTCGTAGGGTTGTCTGCTTGCTTACTCATCGGACGACTGATTCCAGATTGTCTGCGTAGTGTTAGTTAGTGATCCCGCTTCGGGTAACAGCTTGCTTTCAGTGTTGTTTCCAGCACGATTTTGTGTTTTATGAATAGTTTGAATATTTGACTTGTCATGCTTCTTCAGAGCTATTGTAGACTTCCACTATAAAAACGTTCTTCTCGTTGACTCCCCTAATCAGCTACCCTGTCGTACAGTATCACTGTCACAGTGTGTTGGCAGACTAGTATTCATGAGTACATTCATCACTTGCTTTTTTGGTGGTTGAAGAAATACCTACGAATCTTCGATTTCGATCGGTGCTACACGACAATGCGTCCATGCCCCACACGAACAGCGACCACCAATGTGTTAAGATACACCAGTTTATCCATTATCAGTATGTGGAATGGACGAACTCCGCGTCTGGAGATGTGATTTAGTTTACTGAAACAGATTGGTTCCTGGATGGGAGCAACCCCATGTTTGCGACCATTCTCTGCATAATTGCTTGCGGCCACATGGGTATCCCTATTGCAACACACTGGTCTCCACATGAACTGACTGCGGCCTACCAACGTGACGAACTTCACAAAACCCATTCAACATTACAAACGCCCATTATCAGAAGCCTATGGGGAGCGTTAATTTAAGGAACCCATCTTGTCCAGTTTCCGCTCGAACCAGATCACCCCATGAGCTCTCTTTCCGATTGACTTGCTACTTGGTGCTCGTTTCCCATTATCCGCTTATCATGAGATGGTCGCTTGGTTGTAGACACGTGCGTCCCAACTTTTACCTCAGTAACTGTTTTATCAATTGTCATGGCAGCTGAATTCATTTGCGTGGGCGACCCATTCACTGGCATTGATCACAACGCGTACTTCAGATCGATTATCCACGGGTCGTTTGTGGGTGCATGTGCGTATCCGTCGCCATAGAACACCGATGGCGCTACGTCTGTTGACAGGCGAGCGTGTGCGCACGCGCAGCTGTGCACCTTCAGTGTGGTTTTCTTTATCCCAAACTACACATGTCCAGCATTCCCCCGTTGTTGGCTGTTGTCCGAATAGTTGGCTTCCGTTCCGCCTTCTATTTTTCGCGTACGTGGACCTTTTATGCCTGAAATTCCTGCTGACTAGCCTTTTTTCGCACGTCCCGAGAGATCCGAATCCCGTTTTTTTACTGTGGTTTCCTTTTTTCCTCAGCCATTTGCACCTGTCGCCTTCTTCAGAATCTTTCACAGCACAATCTGTNAACCAGTTTTTTTTTACTGTGGTTTCCTTTTTTCCTCAGCCATTTGCACCTGTCGCCTTCTTCAGAATCTTTCACAGCACAATCTGTTCTGTCGCCCAATTCCATTTAAAAAAAGACAACATGTGGTTTGCATGCTAATCTTCTTTTTACTTGTCCTCCTTTCTACCCTCATTGTTCCCGTGAGCTTGTTTTCCTTCCACGTCTACCTGTACCAAATACTTATCTATCGATTTTCTTCATTCGTACACGAGGCACTGTCTGTTTCTTCCCTCATGTTCTTTGGAGAGGTTGTCAACCGTGTACAACCATTTCCCTATGCATAAGTGATTGTCCTTCATCCGGGTCCCACATTAGCCATGAGTCACTTTTGTGGGAGCACAACCGCCCTTCCACAAACTGAATACCCGACGGACACGTGGTATATGGCATGAGTGCAGTCGAAACCTTTTTGTGGACGTCTGTCTCAGCGCCTGCCCATTTATTTTTAGCTACCCATTGGAACGGTTATTTCCCGTGCACACTAAAGTCTCGTTTTTCATACCTATTCTAATCCACTACTTAACACATGGAAGAGACGGCGATTTGGGGCAAGGTACACATAATGTAAACGGGGTGGCAGAGGCCCTCAAGCGACACCCTACCACGCGACTTTTCGCTTATCGGGAGAGTGAGCCATCGCCTACGCGTAACAATGGCCATCTGTCGTATTCAGCAGTCTTTGAACAAACGGGATATAGGAAATTCGGTGCCTTATCTTCTTCCTCTGTTCGAGTGCATTGTACACAGTGGAACGAACACGTGTAAAACGTTGCTCGCAGTGCACATCACTTTCGCCTCTTCTTTGAAATGTCGATGAGCTGTGCGTCTTCCCTGCTTACCCTAGTGACTTTATTCGTCTTGGAGAAATTTACGATTTCAACCGGAGAATGACCGAGACATTGTTCAGGGTCGCGTAGTGTTTTGGAAATGTTTGCATCTAATTTGACAAGCTTAGCGACCAGTCACAAGGATTGTGACTCGTCAAAGTTCAACACGATCAAATTTATGAAGCTATGAGCCTATGTTGCTTCCTTCCATCTTCTGTCCTGTACTCAGTCTGATGTTAATAATTACGACCATGTATTCAGCAACACCAACATTAGGGACGTCCGTCGCGGGTTCCACTGTGTCTGCCACCGCCACGTGACTAGCACACTTCTTGATGGCCAAGTGCATATTGTATTCATCTATATTTATCTCATGTTGCTCCGTGTTTTTCCTTTTCGTAGTTTAACTTTGTCTACTTTCCAGTTTTATTCCTTGGAAAAGTTTCTCTCTCTCACGAACATTATGGGGTCGATCGGTGTCTGAAAGTGCACACCTTTGGGGCTTTACTTGCCTACATCATTTATCGTGCATCCTGTTGACAGGGTGTTTGAGATATCGTTGATCGACTTCAGCCTAATCCCGTATCCATTCTAAGGCACGCTATCCGTGGTCATGTCCAGTATACACTCAGTAACGACTGCAACCGGTAGTTGCGTAATCCCACAGTGCTTTTGCATTGCCAACCCTGCCTACACGTGTTGACATTCCCCCCATTACTTTCGTATGATTGACTGACGAAGGCATGGGCGTGTCCGCGCGCGTTGCCTACGTAACCTCGGACTTTTGTTTCCATTCTCACTTGCCTTCTTTCCGTCCATATGAAGGCTCGTTTTCTCGTTCATTGACTAGATCTTATCCATTTAATCATTAGTCACGTGTATGAGTCAAACCAAGAAAGGTGTGGTCTATTCAAACTTTTGGTTACCTGCCATTCTATATGTCTGCTTATCTGGATGGACACCCTTCGTTCGTTAAAATGTTTTCTTACAATTATCTCTGGACTTCGGTTGACACTTTCTGCAGCAAATCAATTATTGTTCGGTTGACTGTGGGTATTATCACCACCCACAAAACATGCTCAATGTTTACTCATGGTTGTAATTGTCCCAACGGGTTGATTATGTTTCGGGTCTTACTCAAAATTGACGGAACTACGCCACCCATGGCAATATATCCCGGTTTAGCTGTGTCGCAGTGTTCCAACTTCTCTAGTATCGTCCATGCAAAATGATGGGCTAATAAAAATGGAGGTGTGATCGTGCTTAATCTTTTCCTCAAGTGAAGCACATTACAAGTGCCGACGCATGAACTTGTGAGCTTGAATCTTCGCTAGAATGGAGGCAAATCTTCTTCTATTTTTATGGGAAACACCAGTCACTTCGCACTTTAATACCATACGTTGCTCAAAATGGAATAACAAGGTCTGCTAATATCACCGCTCACCAGCGCTGGTCATCCTTCAGCTAGGCCTGTACAGCTTTGTTACAGAGTCAGCTACGGGATGTGCGCAATACCAGTGCGGATTTATGTAGCTTGATATACGAAACACATATCAATAAGATAAAGAAAAGGGATACACTAAATCACAACTCAAATCACTGCCTCATAGTGCATATAAAGCAGATTTGAGGTAGAAGTAAAGAAAAGCGTTCAGACAAACAAGAATCTATCCACGAAGAATGGCTTGCGTCTCCATAGGCTAGGGCGCTGGACACGACCAAACAGTCGGTAATATGCAAAAGGTTGTCTGGTTGCCCGGACAACGTATGAAACGTGCTCTAGGCACACACACGTGACGAGCTGTTGCTACCCATTATTCAACTTGACCTATATAACGGTAGTTACAGAAAATCTCCTTTAGCACCTTCATAGACTTCACGCCTCGGAACATCCAGGACGGTAAGGCGGGGCTTTACTGAAGCAGATGGCAACAGCGTAGCAGTTGGGCAGAATCGTTATTAAGCCGGACCCAGAATATACCCATGTAACCATCTGTACTTAGTCATGATCCGATTTGATTCCGTTCACACAATGATTCTTGGAAGTCACTTCGAACACCACCGCGGCCTTAGCGCATCGAATTACTCAGTGTATAACAGCTTTGATGGTACCTTTCTGTCTTGCATGCTTCAGCCGTCGAGATTGGCGGTCATTAAATTGGCGAACTCGAGTTTTCATCATTTCTCTCCATGCCGTTCTGTTCTGTGTTTCCGTTTCCCACTTCACGACTAGAGTATCCAGATATCGAAGCTTCCATCAGAATTCCATTTCTTCGTATTCAGTTAACCATGTGGAAGCTGACTCAGAACCCTTTTCATGTAGATTAATCAAACGCGTTCCAGCCAGTGGTTGAACGTGATCGTGAACAGTCCTGTGAGCACCAATTGTCCGCCTCAGGCATGCGAATGCTGCTAAAGTATCGGAGTTTGTGCCACCCCATAGTCTGTGTTTCAACGCCATGCAAGAGAGCATAGAGGTTCATCACCGTCTATATGTGCAGGTTGGACTCCATTAACAGGCTCCGTTCCCCCTACACCCAATTCTCGGGTTTACCGAAATTCACGCTGGCCTTTATAACATGGAATCTTAGGTCAAAGCCAAAGTGTGCTTTCGAGGCAGTGGAGGTCTGTGCAGTTATCTGCAAACTTCATTGCAGTCTCGATGTGCGATGGATTGTCGCGAACTCCAAGCCCTGTAGATTGGTGCAGAACAAAAGTCTTCTTGCGTTTTTACTCTGACCGAACTGCGCAGTAGCTGTCGCAAACTTCTTGGCTAGGTGCTGCGGCCCAGCATGTGTGTGCTTCAAACAAGAGTATACGAACCTCGGTCTGATAAACCAGAATCGTCTCA